CCCTCTGCCAGCGGAAACGGGCTCCCGAGCTCCGTTTTCAGCTGCAACGGCCTCCTGCAGCCCTCTGCCAGTAAAAACGGAGCTCGTGAGGCCACACACGGCCCTTCTGAGCTCTGTTGTTGCTGGCAGAGTCACCGCGGGCCGGTCCTTCACTGTTTCCAGGGTGGTCCCGCATACCAGTTCCGTCCCCCCAGGCCTTGAGTTTGACTCATATGGTATCCAAAATAAAATTATGGAACCGTTCTTTTCTGAACTGCACTCCTGCTTCTAATTCAGGACAGGAATATTCCTGAGGTCAGCCTCTCTGTTTGAGTGTTCCATTTGTCCTAAGAGCACACTAGGCAGGCTGTCTGTCTTAGTACTTTGACATTTGAGCCAATGATTGAAGGAAATGGTGCCCTTCTCTTTGCTAGATGCATTTAAGCATCAGCTGGGCAGCCATCTGTCAAGGGAACTTGAATGTGGGTGTCAGGACTGAGTGAAGAATTGGCCTGTAAATCGCTATGATTCTACGGATTTCTTGCAGGAAACAAGATACCACCTATGATTCTAGAACAACAACAACTGAGAGTAGACAACAGGAAGCAACAAAAAAGCTTCTCTGAACAGTTCCAAAATATGGGTAAGGAAGTCCACCTTCATACCTCTTCTCTTGGGCAGAACAATGGTTGCAAATACAGGCAGTCCTTGACTTATAACAGTTCATTTAGTTCCAAGTTACAAGGCCCTGGAAAAAGGGACCCATGACTGTTTTCCATGATTGCAATCCATGTAGCATCCCCGTGGTCACGTTGATCAAAATTCAGACATTCAGCAGCTGACTCATAGTTATGACGGTTACATAGTTATGACAGTCCTGGAGTCATGTGATTTTGCGACCTTCTGACAAGGAACTTGAATGTGGAAGCCACATTCACTTAACAACTGTGCTACTAACTAATGAATATATATTTCTTTTTTTTTCTTTCTTTCTTTGATAGTATCTTTATAAAATTTTATTAAGATAGACTTGGTATGACTTTATGATTTGCTATAAAATAAATTAAGTAAACTATAGTTATCTCGTTAAAGTATGAATTAATAAAATTGTAGTCAAATGATTGTTTAATAATGATATCAGGTTATATAATTGTTGATTAATAATATGAGCTATTATGCAATACAACCACAATGGAGACTATGAAATGGATGCACAAAAAGGAGTGGTAAACCAACCGATACACTGTCTGTAAATTCATGAAGGAGGAGGATGCTTTTATGTTTTATGTCTTATGTTTTATGTGTTTTTGTTCGTTGTTAAAATCAATAAAACTTTTTTCAAAAAAACAACAACTGTGCTACTAACTGCAGTGATTTATACTTAACAACGGTGGCAAGAAAGATCGTAAGCTTGCTTAACAACTGTCTCACTTAGCAGCAGAAATTATGGACACAATTATAGATGTACATTGAGGTTTACCTCTACAGAAGGAGAAGACTATAGGTAATAGTCGAATTATGACCAATATCGAGCCCAAAATTTCTGTTGCTAAGCAAGACAATTGTTAAATAGGTTTTGCCACATTTAACGATGTTTCTTGTCACCGTTGTTAAGTGTATCACTGCAATTGTTAAATTAGTAATATGGTTGTTAAACAAATCTGGCTCCCCCTCCCCATTCATTTTGCTTGTCAGAACATCGTAAAAGGAGACCAGGTGACTCTGGAACATGGCAACCGTCATATATCTGAGTCAGTTGCCAAGAGTGAATTTTAATCACAGGGCTATGGGGATGCTGCAATGGTCGTAAGTGTGAAAACTGGTCACAAGTCACTTTTTTCAGTGCCGTTGTAACTTTGGACAGTCACTAAACAAATGGTTGTAAGTCCAGGGCTATCTGTATTACCAACAGGTGTCTTTTTCAAGAAAGGCAGCAAGATATAGTGGCTAAAGTTAAGGACATCCAAGTTTCACATCCTCACTCTACCATGAAGCTGTCTAAAATATCTTTTGGACGTCACCTCCTTCGGCCTCACCCATAAAAAAAAAGTGAGATAAGAATTTTAGACAAACTGGTAAGCTTTACAACAAGATATGGAACTAAATCTTTTTTTAAAAAAATCAAGGGTTCCAAGGATAACCTTGATGAAAAATATTGTGTAAAAGGGATCATATCCTAAGAATTTTGAGTGAAATCAGATGAATTTTTCTCTTTGTTTCTCCTTTTCTCGTCTCTGTCTTTCTGTCTCCCACTTATCCATTTACAGTATGGATCGATCCAATGTTTTCCAAACTTGGCAGCTTTAAGAGGTGCGGACTTCAACTCCCAGCATTCCAGCATGAGTTGAAGTCCTCATCTCTTAAAGTTGCCAAGTCTGGAAAACATTGGTCTATACCCACTGATCCTTCATTCCACTTGCTGTCCGAGTGAATGCCCAGAGTGTCCCCTTGCCAGAGACCTAACGTCTGCCATTTTGTTTGGCCTACATTTGAAATAGTTGAACTGCTGTAGTTCCACCGCACGCTACCATAGATTCACACGAAGGCATTGCTGGAACTAGGTTTAGTTCTATCACCAAAGCTGCATCCCAGAAATATTTAGGGCTTTAGCTTGAACTAAACCTGCAGCCTGATTTTCAACACTCTGCAAACCATCATCCAATGGGGAAGGCAGATAGTCAGGGGAACTACGTGCTTCGAACCAAGTTTGCAAGGAACTGATGCAGCCAGGGAGAAACTCCTCTGGCTTTCAAGAAAGAATTATTATTTTTGCTCAAAAGCAGGGATGTGTGACAAATGTTGGTGCGTACATGAACGTCCTTTCTTTCACTGCTGTTGGGACCAAAAGAAAGGCTGAGATACAGGTGAGGGAAGAGAGGATTAGGGGAAATGATCACCGCTTCGTTGTCGCTTCGGAATCGCCTTTCCCAGCCTGGTGTTCTCCCCGTGATCGGAACTACAACTCCCATCATGCTTCAGTCACCATGATTATGAGCTGAAGACTGATAGGGCTCAACCCAACACATCTGGAATGCCACAACTTGTGTTGTGGCCTGCCGGCGACTAGCAGAGCTGGCAGCAGAGTCAGACAGTGAGGAGGTTGGGGAGGAACATGGGCCAGTCCTGGAGGCTGAGGAAGGCTCGGACGAGGGCTCTGCATCAGAGGCAGAGATGGGGCCAGGGCAGTCTGGCAGCCATCAGCTGCCTTGAGGCAGGGGAGCAGCTGTTGCCGGTTCCCAGCCTGCACATGCGCAGAGCTGCCAAAAGAAAAGAGCAATTATGAATAAAGGGTTGACGTGGGAGTAAGGCCACAGGTGGATAGTGAATAGCCCCTCCCATAGGGATTAAAAAAGGAGCAAAAGGGGAGGGGGCTTTTGCAGGAAACAATTCGTTCGTTGCAGCAGTGTGAAGATCTGTCTGTGCATCTCAGAGACTCTGTGCTGAGTCCTTCCTTGTCAGCACTGCGGTTTGGAAATATTCACTCGGCAGCTCTCCAAGCTATATAAGGCCTGTGCTCCTAATTAGACCTTTGAAAGACTGTCTGCCAGGCGTTTGGCTGAAAGTGACTGCAAGAAATTCATCTTCGTTTAATAAAAGGGGTTTTGCCGGGACAAGGAGTCTGCTTAGTGCTTTTTGGGGAAACCTAGGTCAGAACAACTTGGGAAGCCTGGTTTAACTTCTCAATTTAGAGAATTGAGACCTGTTATGCCAGCTTTCCTGCAAGACATGGATCCTCCATCTTCTTTTCCATTTTTGATAGGACAGTGCCACATCTCAGCAGTAATCTGGAGGCTGCTGCAGCATCTGCTCTAGAACTCCCACCTGCTAAAAGTCACGGGAAAGGCAGAAAAGGAGGATCAAAGGTGCACTCTTTACAGGTTGTCCACACAAGGCAGGTGGACAACACCGGAATGGGACAATTTGGCATGGCCAGCTCAGCACCGTCAACTCACCTCTGTCCATTCACCACCACCAAGTCTCCACGAGACAACTCCACACAGCCAACTTGCTGTGGTGACAACTTGCTGCAGGTGGCGGAGGGAGAGCCAGCCGGGCAGGCGGGCAAGTGAATGGGTGAACAGAGCGCATTGGGGCGAGTGGCAGCATATGGGCTCTTCCCATTTTCACATGCACCCCACTGGTGATTGGCGGCGGCTCTGCACCCAGCACAGCAGTGGCAACAACAGTGCAGTGTGTGAAAATGGGAAGCCCCCCAGCCACTGCCACCTCTCCACCACTTACTGCAACACACTCTGCATTCTGGCTGCCCACGAGGAGCTGCTTCGTGGTGAGCTGGCCATGTGGAGTTGTCCTGCAGGAACTTGGCAGGCGTGAGTTGGCAGTGATGAGCTGGCTGCGGTGAATTGGACGGAGACCCCGTGGACATGGTTTCCTAGCACGGGATGCGAGCGTGTTGAACATTTACAGTGTTTGTTTGAATGGCTCTCCTCGTTGCTAGGACCCATCACACATGTGACATAAAGAGAACGGGAACACAGACATAAAGAGAGAGTGAAGTGGGAAGGCATAAAGGATGGACTTCAGTAAAATATACAGACCTTGGAGATGATTCTGGCTGTTGTTCTTTCCTTAAAGAGAAGCAGAAGTATGTTAGTTAGCTGGCTGGCTGGTTGATGGTTGGTTGGTTGGTTAGTTACATTTTATGCCACCCGTTGCACTGATGCAGCGAGTCTGAGCAGCTTACCATAAGATAACAAGTTTTTAAAAAGTACTACAAGACAATTAAAATTAAAAGAAGTAAACAGAAATGTTAACAATGAAGCTACATTTGCAGTGAGAAAAAATGGACCAGGAACGGCAAACAAAACTAAGTAGCAAAACAGAGGAGAAAGAGAGTCTATGCCAGCTTGCCATGGCTAACCCACCGCTGCTAACTCGCCAGAGGACATCTTAATGTGAGATAACTGTAACTGTACTCTAGACCCATTGCTCTTCTTAATATTTTTAATAATATTATTTGACTGTTTTGTACCAGAATTATGGCTGCATTGGACATGGGGCAGTGGCTAAAAGAATATTCAGACATTGGAAAAGTTATATTATTCTGAGCGTCTATGGAGATTCTCAGTCATCCAGGTCATCCTTGTCCCAAAGGTGCTTTTTTCAAGAGGCAACTGGCCTTTCTGGTTTTTCATTGAAGACATTTTGCTTCTCATCCAAGAGGCTTCCTCAGAGCTGAAGAAGCTTCCTGGATGATAAGCAAAACGTCTTCAGAGAAAAACCAAGGAAGTCCAGTTGCCCCTTGCAAAAAGCCCCTTTGGGATTATTCTGAATGCCATATTACATCATTTCAGATAACATAGTATGTGTAATTTTTGTCTGTTTTGGAAAGGGCAACATTTTGTACTAGTCAAAAGACATAGCAATACATGTTATTATTGCAGGAATGTTGGGATAATTTTGAATAATATTTTGTATTGTTCATATTATAGTACTGAATTCATTAGTGAGCCAGTGACTCCTAACAAGTGAAAAATGTAAGGCAGATTTTTAATCTTCTTTTTTCATTCTTGGCCTCATTCTTAGCCTCATATATTTATTTATTTTCATTTTCTTTAAGATGAAAGATTTCCTGATGAATTGTGTATGTACAAAGCAACATTTCAAAAAAAATATATTAAATGTTTCTTTTCAAAAATATAAATCCTTGTTGTTTTGGCTCTTACCTTCATTTGCTGTTTTTTCATAGCCATCATATATTTCCAAACAATTAAAATTGAGACCAAGTTCATAATCCGGTGGCTTGTGCAAGCAAAGCAGGGGAATATAGGCTATAGAATTCCTTCCAATTCCTTCCTTTTGACTGGCCCATTTACACAGCAAAAGGGTAGCACGTTTTGACAGGTGACTTAAGCCTAAATTCCCACAGGCATGGAGAATTGCAGCCATCTGACAAAACTTGCTTTGTCTTGTGCACACAAGCAAAGAGAAAAGTGACTTTAAATGATTAAAGCCTATTCCCCTAGGCAGAGAGGGGAATTGTGGGAAGCTTTCAAAAGTCTGTTTATTATAAGCCATTTTCGTAAAGTAGAGTTGCGGTGTTTCTAATGGGGTTGGTTTCCTAATTTAGCCTACCTCAAAGGGCTGGCATTCTTCTTAAAAGCCTCACAGTGATTTCTTTTTTTCTCATACCAGTGCTTCCCAACCTTAGTCTTTTTAAGATGTGTGGACTTCAACTCCCAGAATGCCCCAGGCCGGGGCATTATGGGAGTTGAAGTCAGGGGTGGGATACGACAGGGTTAACTACCGGTTCGGGATTTACAAGCTTCCCTGGCAGCTGTGAGCCAGGTGCCTGTTAATCGTCATTAGCAGGCTGCCTGCCAAGAAGCAGCCTTTGAAACAGCCCTCTTTTCTTGTTGTTTTAACTGCAGCTGTGCCTCGTTCAATCAGGAAATAAAGATCAGGTAAGAGCCCGGGTGGGCATGTGGGCAAAAACATCAGCAGACATAGAACCGGTTCTATGTCTGCTGCTCTTCAGAGCTACCGGTTCTACAGAGGTGGACAGAACCGGTAGAAACCCACCCCTGGTTGAAGTCCACACATCTTAAAATGGTGGAAGGCTGGGAAACATTGTTTTATACCAAAGAGAATCAAAGGAGGTTTCTCTCTAACATCTTCCAATCCCAGACTTAATTGATATTTCTCTACCTTTCCTCTCCAAGGTCATTTCTGTGGTTCTCTAAAATTCCCCTTGGCTGGGATTTACAACTCTGTTTGCAAGAACTCCAGTACAGAACCACAAAAATCCCATTTCACACGCTGAGTCTATTTTCCCATAAGTCATTCTCCGCCATTACTAACCTGAAAGTTAATCCTGATTTGCTCTTCAGATTTCTCAGCAACTCGAGCTGATTCAAAGGTGGAATGAGCCTAAATTGGAAGAAATCCAAAATCAATTTCAAGCAAAAGAGAAAGAGAGAGAGAGAATAAGAGAATAAGAGAGAAAACACAAGAACCATCTCATGGAAAGTTTTTCCCTCCCTTGGGATTGTGTGTCTGTACCATATATTGCAAATACAGAAGAATGGGAGGTGAATTAGGAATTTTCATCTCTAGATGTTCTCCAGAAGCAGGATGAGCAGATAAAACTAGTATGAGAAAGGAGGAAGGTGTCTCCAAATGGGTGACTGACTGGAATTAGCAGAGATGGCAAAATTGTCTGCCCTTAATCAAAGAAAAAAGACACATTTAACTTTGTTTCTGCTTGGAAACCACTTCTGGACTTTGTGCTCGAGGTGGAAAAAAAATGAATCTCTGAATTTGGATTTCGATGGTTAGATTTAGTTTTGTATTTATAGAAATGGCTTGTATATATTATTACATATACTGTATATGCTGTATATATAGTACTATAAACTACATATAGCCTCAACTTTTTAAAAGTAAAAAAGGTGCATCCATATGCAATTTTTTTTTCTTACCATGCTAAAAAGAGTCGAGTGGTGAAATGTGTAGTATGAAGGGCATTTAAGTTCTCCATCATTCTTGGAAACCTAGTTTGTGATCCCAACTCAGTCCAGTGAAATGCTGGATCCCTGCTAGATCCTTCTCGTTCTGTCCAGACTGCCTGATCTCCAGCATTTTTAGCCATAGTGTGATATGATTCAAGACCCCTACCTCAAATCTGCTTTCTACTCCTTGGGGGGGATCACAACCCACAGTTTGAAAACTCCTCGCCTAGACTGAATTTCCTTGCAAGAACTCCTTTTTCAGCATGTCCAGGAACTGAATCGTTATTCGGATTTGGGATACAATGTGAGCATCTTTCTCTGACAATTCATTCATTCCTTACCCTGAAATTCCTCAGCAAGACTGAGTGGCTCACTTGAATGCGCCCCTCAAAAAACCAATCAACAAATTGTCCCCCAAAATTTGTCTGGAATGAATTAGCCCCCAAAATACCAGTTTGTTGCCAAAAAAAAAAAAATAGCAACGTGACGCATGTATGAACCACGTCTTCGTTACGACATAAACTTAATGAGAATTCTTATAACTTCCTTCACTTTGTCTCCACCCTTGAGACTTTATTCCCATTCCTTCCAGAATATGTGGTTTTGTTAGATGTAGCATGCTTTTGAATAAAAGAACCGGGCACAAAGAATCATACAATCACTGGAATAAAACAAAGTACATGCAATAGAATGTGAAAATTTTAAGAAATTTCACCTGGTCTGTAGGCTTTATTTGAGGCCCTGAACATGGAGAGTTGTTTTTTTCCTGTTACTATCAAGACAATCTTGACTTCTTTTTGATAGCTAAGACTACCAGGTCTGAGCTGCAAAACCTCAAATGACCACTAGATGGTGACAATGAGACACCACAGATGTGGTCCTTTACTGCCACCTAATGATAGCCTGTAGTTTGGCAGCTCAGATCCAGAAACCTTAATTAAAGTATATAAAACAAAGTACTGGACGGTACACACTCCCGGTAGCGAAAGGCACACTGTGAGTTGTTGCTGGAAGCACACATAACAACCAGGCAAAGTCAGCATCGCTGGTCATGCCTCAAAGCAATCGGTTACAAAGCAAACACAACATGGGTGGCACAAACAAGCTACACTCCCACAAGTACACCCATGCACACACCACAAAAAGATATTGGGGACCGGTTGTGATGAAGCCGGTGTAAAAGAAAAGTGAGAGTGAGGCGGGTCATCAAAGGTCAAAGAGAGAGGTTAGGTCATTTGTCCAATGCTGAAAAAAAGACTGTATCCTTCTCTACAGGTAATCCTCAACTTCCGACCACAGTTGAGCCCAAAATTTCCCTTCCTAAGCAAGACAGTCAAATGAGTTTTCCTTCATTTTACAATCTTTCTTGCCACGGTTGTTAAGTGAATAAATGCAGTTGTTCAGTTAGTAACACAGTCGTTAAAAGGTCGCCAAAGGGGATTATGTGATCCCGGGACATTGCAACCGTCATAAATACATGCTGGTTCCCAAGTGTCCAAATTTTCATCACGTGACCATGGGATTTCTCCAACGATCATTAAGTTTGAAAAAGTTTCCCAAGTAGTGGTGGGATTCAGCCGGTTTGCACCAGTTCAGGTGAACTGGTTGTTAAATTACCCACCCACCCATCAAAGGGCACGGCACTGCGCTGCAATGGAGGAACGGCCAACGCAGCAACTGACACAAGGGAAGGAGAAAGCCGCTTTCCCTCTTTCTTGTCCCTGCTCCTCCTCCTTCCCTTGTGCCAGCCGCTATGTTGGCTGTTTCTCCATTGCAGCGCAGCGTAGTGCCAAGGATCCACTTTGATAACGGGTGGTGATGGTAATTTAACAACCGGTTTGCCCAGGGTCAGGTTGGCTATCGCGGGAGGCTCATCCCGCATGAGCTGGAGCTGGAGGATGGGGGTGAGCTACGCCTCCCATAACAGCCAACCTGACCCTGGGCAAGCCGGTTGTTAAATTGTTTGAATCCTGCCACTGTTCATGTCACTTTTTCCAGTGTCGTCATAATTTTGTACAGTGAGTAAATGAAGGGTTGCAAGATGAAGGACTTAGTCAAACTCAAGCTGTCTCGCTTAGCAACATAAATTTGGGGCTCTTTGGTGGTCTTAAGTTAAGGACTATCTGTATTCCCTCTCGCAGATGTATATCCTACCTTCATCCATGGGAAGAGAATGAGCAAAAACAGCAATAACATTCATCTCTCTATTACGTTTTATCCTAATTAAAAATGAAACAGCTTTTGTTCTTGTGACAAGGTGAAGGACAAGTTTGGTACATATGAAATGAAAAGCAAAATCGGAGCTGATCCGTGCCTCCCTTTTCACAGTTACGACTTTTGCAGCATGGATCATGTGATCAAAACTCAGTGTCAACTCATAAAATATTTCTCTGGCCTTTTTAGAGTTGCCAACAGAAAGGGAGGGGGGAGCAATGCAGCAACTTGCAAAACCGAAACTGCATTCCATAAATGTTTTCAAAGATAGTAACTAGGTGAGTGAAGTTTCTGCTGTGCAAAATTCTAACTGGAGAGCATGATTGATGACTCTTGGCTATGGATGTGTCCCATTGGAGAATATGAATTACGATACACCCAGGGGGTGGGGTGGGGGTCAAAGGTGACAATGAATGATGTGTCTCAGAGTCGACTATACCCAGGCAGTGCCGGCATGTTAACTCTCAATAAATCCTTTTTAAGTTTTGGAAGTTTGGCTCGAGACTCATTATTTAGATGGGGGTAACTGCCGGAATCCTGACACTCAGATGCCTGGCAACTGGCTCATATTTATGACCATTGCTGTGGCCCAAGGTCATGTGATCACCTCTTATGACAAGCAGAGTCAATGAGGAAGCCAGATTCACTTAACAACTGGGTTACTAACTTATCAACTGCAGTGATTCCCTTTACAACTGTGGCAAGAAAAGTCATAAAGTGGGACAAAACTCACTTAACAAATGTCTCACTTAACAACAGAAATGTTGGGCTTAATTCTGGTTGTGAGTCAAGGACTACCTGTATAGTAAGCCAGACTTATTGCAATTGAGCAAGACAACCTCTATTCTATTGTCTGGTTACAGCGATCTTCAAACTTTGAAACTAAGAGCTGTGGACTTCAACTCCCAGAATTCCTCAGGCAGCAGTGTTGGCTGAGGAATTCTGGGAGTTGAAGTGCACAAGTCTAAAATTGGCAAATTTGCAGACTCCAGGCCTAGAACATTTAACCCCAGGGGTTTTTTTTTACACAAGGCAACTTTAAGGATTCCCCAACCAACATGCTGGGAGTTGAATTCTACACATCTTAAAATTTCCAGATTTAAGAAAAAAAGCACTGATTCAACTCAGGGACAATATCTTAAAAAGGACAGCATGCTCATATGTATCTGGTCGAAGCTACAATGACGTCAAAATGACATCTTCCACGTTATGGCATCTTCACACAAATTATACTAAAAGCCTGATTTGCATTATTTCATGTCATGAGTCACACGGCTTTCTTTACTGCTTTCAAATGCAATAGTTTTGATTGAGATAATATGCTAATGCTTCTAGAAGCCAGGCTGTAAATTCTGGTTTACTGTTGTATAAGCATGCTGGCTGGGGAATTCAGGAAGGTGAAGTCTGCCATATATCTTTAAAGTGCTGAAGTTGAGAAACACTAAATTGGATTTAGCTGTCAAACCTCAGCTCCATTTTTAGCCCAGCTTAGCATTCATACAAACCCAATACATCAGAAAGTATAGTTTGATGAGTTTCCTATTTCAGGAACACAGAGTGTAGCAGAGCTGGGAGAGTGGTCAAAACTATTTAGCTCCATTTGGTTTAGAATAACAGTACCACATTGTTTGCTGGCTATTTTTAGATAGATAGATGGATGGATGGATAGATAGATAGATAGATAGATAGATAGATAGATAGATAGATAGATAGATAGATAGATAGATACTGTAGATAGGTAGGTAGGTAGATAGACAGACAGACAGACAGGCAGGCAGACAGACAGACAGACAGACAGACAGACAGACAGAGATAGATGGATGAGAGAGAGAGATGGAGATATGGTATACTGTTTCTGTATGTGT